AATGGAGCTTCCCTTGGCCAACGAAACGTGTGAGGGGAGTGCCAAAATTGGGTGGCGCGGCATGCGACGCAGCCATTGGGTCCTTCGGTGAGCTCCCTATGGGCCACAAACGTGTGAAGGGGTGTGCCCAAATTGGGTGCTGCGGCAAAATGCGACGCAGCCATTTGGCCTTCGGTGGAGCCCCCTATGGGGCCACGTAGTTTGAGGGGTGTGCCGATGTAAAGATGATGATATGTTGATGAATGAGATGATGATGAATGATGATGATATGATGATGATGATGATATGATGATGAATGAATGATTGATAATGATTGGTGATGTGAGGAACCGTCAAACCACGATGGGGTTGGGAATGAATGATGATACTCAATTATAATGAGCATGATAGGATGGATGAGATGGATAAAGGGGGAGGGGCAGCGGGAAGGAAAGGGCACACGCTCTTCAAAACGAGGACCCAACACCACAGGATGGTTGGGAACAAGCAAACCGCTTGAGACATCCCGACAAAACGGCCGCGAACGGGACCGTGAGATACCCCCTGGCGGCTCCCCTGAGGGGGGTGAAAATGAAGGCCTCGCTCGAGACATCCTCCAAATCTGCTCCGAAAGCGAAGGATGTTGGGACAGAACACAGGCAAACCGCTTGAGACATCCCCACAAACGGCCGCGAACGGGGCGTGCGTGAGTCTCACCATGAGTAAGTCTGAGTAGGAGTAGGTCTTAATTTTGTGTGTGAGTAAGTCTGGGTACGAGTAAGTCTGAGTGTGAGTCAGTCTGTGCATGAGCAAGTCTGGGTATGAGGAGCAGAGGGGAGGAGAAGGAGGAGAAGAAGAAGAAGAAGGAGGAGGGGTAGGAGGCGTCCAAGTAATAACAAGAACCCCATCTTAGGATATGGGGACATAAAGTTAACGATTTGGGGTTCTCCAGCCGCTCTCGAGAGGCCTCTCGGAGCTCTCTTGAGGTGGTCTCTTGGAGGCCTCCTGGGAGCCTGGAGAGCCGCCCAAACGCTATCCTGGGTTGCTTGAGAGCGTCTTGGGCAATTCTGTTACGTTGTGGGGACTTCTAAAAAGTCCCAAAAAGAATCTTGGGGTCGTCTTGGACTGTCTTTGGGCATTGTGGGGGCTCCCCGGGAGGCCGGGAAGCGCGGTACCGGGAGCATACATCAGATGTGAGCGAGGTGGAGGACGCCCCGGGAGGGGGCCCGGCGTATTTGTGTAGAACCGCGCGCGCTTCGCGCGCGCTTAGGTTCTCCCTCGTTCGTCCCTCCAGATTATCCTCCACTCCGACTCCTGTAAACTCACCCACAAAATACCCCTCCGCTCCCCCTTACTCCTCATCCCCCCCCTCTGCTCCCGAGTTTTTTCCAGGGTCCCTGGCCCTACCTAACGAATTTCGGACTCCCAGGGCTGCTTGAAGCCCCCCCCGGACTGCTCGGACGCCCTAACAAGGGGTCATTCGGCCTTCTGGCCTTCTCGGAAGGTCCAGAGTCCTCCAATATTGCCCAAGACAGCTCGTCGATAGTTCCAAAGCGCACCAAAACCTTCAACATGGCTTCCAAACGCCCCAAGAGGCCTCCAAGAGGCTTCCCAAGAGGGCCCGAAGAGGCACAATTACTTGATTTTTCAATGCTTTTGGAAGACTTTTTTGGTTTTCGCTTTTCCGGGTTCAGAACGGCCCAAGACGGCCCAAGAGGCTCCAAAGATCGTCCCAAAACGGCCCCAGAGGCCCCCCAAAGGGCTCGAAAACGGCCCAAGAGGGCCCCTCCCTAGACGGCCCAAGAGGGCCAGAAAACTACCAAGGGAGCCCCAAGACGGCCCCAATAGAGCCTCAGGAGCACCCCGAGAGGCTCCCAAGAGGGCCCCAAGAGGCCCCCAAGACAGCCCGAAGACGGCCGAAGGCCAGACGCCCAAAGACGGCCCGAAAGGGCCCCAAAACGGCCCAAGAGAGTCCCAGCACGGCCCAAAAGGGCCCCCCAAAAGGCACGAAGAGGCACAATTCATTTTTTGTTGAAAAGGTTTGAAAGTTTGTTCGGCTTTCGCTTTTTCGGGCCACGAACGGCCCAAGACGGCCCAAGAGCGTTTTACAAGGAAGTCCCCTGCAAATCAATTATTGCACGGATGTAGATATCGTAAACAATAAATTGCCATGTGAAACGAGCGTCAATCGCTCTTGGGACGTTCAGGCGTTGGAAGGCGCTGTCGTTTGAGATCCATACGTACATACATACATACATACACATTCACATGCATACATACGCAAAATAAATTAACGTGTGCACACACATCCCCCACGAACGCACTTCGGACTCCCAGGGCTGTTGGGAAGCCCCTTCCTGGGCTGCTCGACCTGATGGGAAGCTCCCTGGGGGCTGCTCGGACGTTCTTGCAAGGGGGTTCCTCGACCTTCCGGCCTGAGCTGTTCAGACCACTCTTCGCTTGAGACTCACTCGCGCAGCTGACTTCGGAGATGCCCTGCCCCATAGTGCTCGGGCCAGTTTCGCCTGAGGCATCCTCGCAACGTCAACCTCGGATGCGCTTTGCCGCGTAGCAAACAGACACGTAGCACTCCGACACGTTCACAAGGCCTCCATATTTTTCCCAAAAATTCTGGCGGCGCCCGTCGTCGAGTCCCTCTCAGGTCCTCCTGTCTTTCAACGCTCTCGGAGGCCAGCTCGCAGCGTCTTGCATCCGCGTCAATTGCAGCCTTCATGCCATGACTTCCGATCCTGAGCGTTCGTGCCTGCCTGTCCTCGGGTCCGCGGGATTCCTCCCATGACTCTTTCCCTTCGCCGTCCTCCTTTCCACTGTCGGCTGAGACATCCTCACAACTCTGACCCTCGAGAAGCCCTGCCCCAAGATTGTCCGGCCACTTCCGCTTGAGACCTTCTCGCAAATCTGGGTTCTGGGGCTCCCTGACCTGAGGTGTTCTGGCAACTTTCTCTAGTAAGATCCTCGCAACTCTGGATTCCGAGATGCCCTGCCGCAGAGTAGTCCGCCACTTTCTTTCACCTGCGACATCCTCGCAACTTTGGATTCAGGGATGCCCTGAGCTGAGGTGCTCAGGCCACCTTCGTTTGAGACATCCTTGCAATTCCGGGTTCGGGTCTGTCCTCAGCTGAGGTGGTCAGCTCACTTTTGCTTGAAACATCCTCGCAACGCTGACATCGGAGATGCATTGCCCCGTAGTGCTCTGGCTACTTTCGCCTGAGACCCTCGCACCTCTGAGTTGCGAGATGCCCTGAGCTGGCGGTCAGGCCATTACCGCCTGAAATACGCACGTGTATGCGCACCCATAAGTACAGATAGGTGCGTGCACCAACAAACACCTGCGATTGACATATTCATATACATACGCATCTATATGTGTAATATGTCTACACGTATACAACAGTATACATGTGCGGTACGCACATGTGCAGAGCTTGCATGCGCGCGCGCGTGTATACATGCGTGCGCGCACGCACGCATGCACGCACCCCGCTTGCGTGCGAAATTCCGAGGACCACGGTGCATGGCGCGCAGCGCCAATGCAGCTTTGTATATATATATATGGAGAGATACTCAGTTACACATAGTCCCGCCCTTAACTATCTCGATCTCGCACGACGACGGATATGCTTCAGTGCTGCACAGGAAAAAGGCCATGAACGCCGAGTTTGCTGGGCCCTCACTAAGCAGCGTGTGCTGTCAGCCCTGCGCCTGATGCGAATTGAAAGTGAACGGGCTAGAATGGGGTGTGCAAAAGGTTTCCGACAGAGTCTGACGTAACGGGTGGATGGAGGATAAGATATTATCCCAGTGCGACCCTACCTAGGAGTTGGAGGATCTAGGCAAGCAACATCTATATGAAGCTAAGTTAAACTAAGATGAAGCTAAGCTAAGATGAAATAAACTAAGCTAAGATGAGAAAAGCAACGCTAAGCTAAGGGAACGTCACTGGGGGGAACCGCGGAGCGGATGCCGGGGGAACCGCCCGGGGCGTTTTCCACTGCCCGTCGCCCACATCGACGGCCACAGCAGGCCGGGTGGGCTGTGCAGCACCACCTGGTGCCGAGGCGGGCTCTGCAGCACCGCTGAACGCTTCACTCCGCCAACCTCGGGACATGAGCGCGGGCGGCTGTGTGGCAAAGGCCTCCAGACTTGAGCCGAAAAGGTTACGGAAGGCACTGCTTGCGGGGGCTCCCGTCCGGCCATCGAGGCCAGCTCGGCATCTGTCGCACATTGCTTTTGCTTTGCCTTGCCTTTGCTTTGCTTTGCTTTGCTTTGCGTTGCTTGTGCTTTGCTTTGCTGTCGCTGCTGTTGCTTTGCCTTTGCTTTGCTGCTGTGCTATGCTGTGCTCTGCTGTGCTGCGCGGTGCCGGGGGAACCACCCGGGGCGAGCCCCACTGCCCAGCCCTTTAAGCTTAGCTAGGCGAATCTATGCTAAGACTGGCGCTTATGCTAATGCTATCTATGCTATGGCTATCTCTGAATGCTGCGCTATGCTTATGAGTGGCTATTTAGCTAGCTATGTTTATTTAAATGCATGCGCGCGCTAATGCGAAGTTACGCGAAGCTAAGCTAAGTTACCCTCTAACAAGCCTTAGGAGGAAATGCACCCAGCTATGGTAGTGATCGGCTCTTCCTATCTAACGCTTGCTATCTGTGCTCGGCTATGCTATTGCTCCAGCGAAGCAAATGAAGGAATCGAAAGCTAAGATAAACCTAGCAGGATGAAACAAGCAAAGCTAGATAAATAGAGCGGAACTAAGATGAGATTAGCAACGCTAGCTGGGGACATAACTGGGGAACCGCGGGCGATATTGGGGAAACCGCCCGGCGAGTTGCTCTGCCCCGTCCCTTTAAGTGTGCCGAGTAAACCCTTCTACGGAAAAGCCTAGGAAGGAACCATGTGGGGGGGCGGAGGAGGGCACAGCGGGGGCGAGGAGACGAACGGGCGAGGGGGAGCCTGGGGACCCGGGAGGCAGGGGAAGCACAGCGAGAGCGAGAGGAGCCGTCCTCTGGCACCGGCGGCCCGGCCGGCGCCGCGGCCGGCGCGCCCGCCGGCTCGGCAGCCGGCGCCTCCGCGGGCGCCGCGGCTGCCGCAGGCTGCCCCTCGAGGTCCGCCATGGCAGGCACGCCGGGCGCCGCCGCGCGCCCGGCTGTCGGGGCTCGGGCTCGGGAGAAGCACGAGCCGCGGGGGGAGCTGATATGATCAGGTGTCCTCCTCCTCCTCCTCCTCCTCCTCCTCCTCCTCCTCCTCCTCCTCCTCCTCCTCCCTCCTCAGCTCTCCCCTCCTCCTCCTCCTCCCTCCTCTGCTCTCCCCTCCTCCTCCTCCTCCTCCTCCTCCTCCTCCTCCTCCTCCTCCTCCTCCTCGAGCGTACCCAGAGAGTCCCAAATGATCCACTCTACGACTACCTCATCAATGCAAAACGGACAGCAGGAAGAAGGGCGCGGGCCTCGTCAGCTGCGGGGGGGGCGCCAAGACGTCGGACTGCTGTCTTCGCTTCCGTGTGAAGCAGGTACGCAGCGACGGGAAGACGGAATTGATCGGCAGATGGGTGAAGCAAACCGAGAAAGGCGAGAGGGGGAGCAGGGGGCTCAACGTCAACGAGGGAGCGAATGAGAAGGCGAAGATGAGGGCACCCGAGATAATGAACAAGGCTGTCGGGGGCCTCGGTGCAGCCGAAAACACAGAACGAGGTGGCCGTCTGCTGAAAGCGAGATTCGGTGCACCAGTTGTGACTGAGAGTCCGAAGCACAGCGAGGGCATGGCACGGTTTCAAACGTCGAACGGTGTCCTGGATCCGAGGCCAGTCAAGGCCGCGAATGTCCTCGGAAAGCGCAGGGAAAAGCGAAACCAGGCGAGAAGAAATGAGTTTGGGCCAGTCCCCTGGGAGAAGAATGGCGGAGAACTCCTTACAAAGATCTCGCTGAAGCTTGAATTTCCTACCTTGGCTCACGGCATCAGAGATGGTCAGAAGGGAAGTGTCCATAGCCTGCTTGAGTTGTGTGTGGTGCTTGAGATCGGAGAAGCCTTTCATCGCGTCGGACATGTGTTCACAAATCGCTTTCGTCCCCCACCAGGTGGGGCTTCTTTTGCCACGGCCGTAGTCGGCGAGCCCCAATTCGCTTAGTGCCACAGCCTCAAGCGCAGCGAGACACGATCGCCACGTCGTAAACGTCGAACTCGCGGCTCGAACTCTGGCGGCGAGCGAGACCACAATCACGGATGGGATCTTCGGGCCTCCCCAAGTCTCCATCGAATGCCATGCAGCTCGAGTCAGGCCACAGTAGGGGAAGCGGAAGATTCTAGAGAGCATCGCGTCTTCGTATCTGGCGAGAAGGGGGGGATGTGGCAAGAACTGCGAGACGTAACTGAGCACTGGAGCCACTCTCCGCACATAGAGGCATTGAGTGATCGAAGCAGGCGAGCAGGCGATGGCGAGCGCAAGTCCCCTTTCCCTCCATTTCGTCACTGGTGCTCCCCAACTCTTCTCTTCTGCATTTGGCCCCATCCACGTCCCCAGGTAAAGAAGGTTCGGCACAACAGCGAACTCGCTCCAGTCCACGACCAGCGAGCGAAGCTTCTGCTGGTACAGGGCAGCAAGGGCAGGCGTGAAGGGGCCGCTCAACGGCACGATCTGGCACTTGGTTGCCTTCAAAATGAGGCCGGCGAACAAGGACGCATTCTTAAAGATGCGGTGGAGCTGTTGCACGTACTGCAGGCGTCTGAGGACAGCTCCTATATCGTCGGCACAGGCCTTAATTTCTCATCGGTTTTTGGCGTCGATATGCATCTGGAAGTCCAGGAGAAAACAATCAGTCGCAACCGCATACAGAAGTCCGCTCCCAGGGCACCCTTGGATAATCCCCGACCCAACATGGAAAAGAAACCGTAGTTCGCCGCCAAAAGCCGTCCAGCACACCACATTGTCGTAGATATATGATAGGAATAAGTAGAGAGGTGGAGGAAGGCGAAGGGATTGGAGCACCAGCATCGACAATTCGTGGGCCAATGAAGGGAAGGCCTGAGAGAAGTCGAAGGAGATGAGGGCGGGAAGGTCGGTAGAGGCAGTGGGAGCCATAGAGTAACGCCTGGCGGCGGCGTCGAGTTGGATAATATTATCCCCGAATTGGCGGCCAGCGATGAAGCCTCGCTGGATCGGGCAGGCCAGAGCCGCCCAACGGCGGGCGAAGGAAGCAACACAGACCCCCACAAGTATTTTGTTGTCGGTGTTTTTCAGTCCCAGAGGTCGTAGTTCCCCCGCCGTCCGAATAGCCCCGTCGCTGTCCCTTCCTTGGATCCTTTCGGGAGAAAGGCGCCGAGTAGAAAGTTGAAATCGTATCCGAGAGTCCCGCCCTCGAGCACCCACCAAAGACAGGCATAGAGGGTCTCGATCGCGCCAGGCGCCTGTTGCCATGCAGCGCGAGGTAAACAGTCGGGGCCAGGGGCAGAGTGGTGTTGTCGCCGAATGTGGTTTTCGAGCTGTCGGTAGGTAGGAGGAGGGAGGTCGGAGAGGTCGTGATGAGAGGAGAAGCGGTCGAGATAGCGTCGATCTTGGGGTCGGGAAATCGTTTTCGGCGAAAACACCTCCCCCCAGTATGTCGATATCTCAGTCTGCTTCCGACCAGGATCTGCATGTGCCGCTCCGTTGACCTCAATAGCCTTCAAATAAGCCGTCGATCGAACGGGGCCCAAATCTTAGCTCGGGTTTCCAAGCGTCGGAGACGCTGTCGGATTTTCTTCTGTGTATTCACTTGATTGGTGGCCCTGAGGGCCTGTCGGTGTTCGGAACGTTCGGCCTCCAGGTCCTCTGATTGCAGTCGGTCGAGCAGATCTGAGAATTCCGTCGGTCGTTTCAACGCAAACGGCCGCCTCTGCACATCAACGTCGAGGTGCTCAGCAGCCAGCGCATGTGCCTGCACAAGAATAGAGCCTAGGCGGACGTTCCGCCGCCATACCACCCTAGCGATGGAACGGAGAAGGATAATCTGGGCAAGCCGAGAGGTCGGTTCTGTCGTCAAAATCGCCTGTCGGGTAAATCGGGCCGCGTCCCGTAGGAGGTTTTTGTAAATCTGGAGTCGGTAGGGAGGGTCATAGAGGGAGAGGTCGACGACGTCGAGGTGGGATTGGACATACTGTCGGAACACAGGGGACTGGAAGATGGCATTGGGAATGGGCTGCTGCTTGGGGTCTTTCGGGGGCGCAGGTCGAAGGTCCACCGCGATCCCAACGTGATCCGAGAGGCCTCTGTGGTTCAAAATCTCGACTTGCCCTTTAGTGTAACCCGTGGCATGCATGTGTGTGGCCACCCAGCCTGGCAGCGATACAAAGAGGCGGTCGATCACGGAGGTGGAGGAGGTGGCGATGGAAGCGCGGGTAGGGTCGGAGAGCTCAATCTCGGTGAGGGAGGAGAAGAGGCTGGTCCACACGCGGTCCTGCGAGCCGCGCCAGTCGGCGTAGCCAAGACCTGGGTTCTGCGCCTCCTCAGGTATTAAAGGCTGGGGCGGCGTCGCGGAGATGTTAAAGTCGCCTGCAACAAGCAAAACACGCAGGTGTGGTGCTTCCCGAGTTTCCCCCAGGTCCCGTCGGATTGCCAAAACCACCGTACGCTTTTGATCCGCAGAAAGCCCAAACTTGTGTATGTTGTAGTGGGTAACCCATGCACCACTACCCCCTAGGGATTGCCGAACTCGGAGCACCCTACCAGGAACCAGCTCAGTCACCTCAAAACTGTCGTTCGCGGCATTTCCTGGGAGCGCGCGTCGCGGCCAGAAAGTGAGGACCCCTCCAGCGTTCCATTGCGGACAAAACGAACTGAAGACCAGGTGTTTTTTTGTGGGCGTGGTAGAGATAGTTACGGACCTCTAGCTCGCTGCCGCGCGCTTCCTGGACGCCTACAATGCTGGAGTCGGAGAGTAGGGAAGAGAGGTAGTTGTACTTAATCGTGCGGAGGTGAGGGTCGTGGTGGAAGAGGGAGCGGGCATTCCAGCTGCAACAGGACAGAGATTGGAAGTCGGGCCTGCCACCTGACAACAGGCCGAACAACTCGCTAAAGACACCATTCGGGCTGGTCTTCTTCGCGGGCGAAGACACGGGCTGCAATCTCACTGAGCTTCGCACGATCCAAGCCCAGCGCGTCGATGTGGTTCCTGGCCCACTCGATATTGGGCGGCTCGCCCACACCAGGAACGGGAGTGATGCGGACGAAGACTTTCCAGTTGAGGCTGAGCTCTCCCTTGACCTTGTCACTGTAGAAGCGACGACCCGTGTATTCTTGTTCAATGGCGGCGCGTAGTAGCTTGAGACCAATCTCACGCTGGATCTGAAAGGGGTTCTTGTCGCTGCTGACGTACAGCGGGGTGTTGGCGTTCGTGGCGGTCTTCGCGGTGAGCTGCATCCAGTCCGGGTTGGGTCCGAGGGTTCGCATCGCGGAAAGCGTCTGAGATGCTCGGCGAGTGGCATATCCGTGGGCACCTTTGAAGCGAACCTGGAAGCGTTTGGCAATGGGGTCGCCCTCGATCTCCACATCGGTCGCATCGATGTTGGCGGCGTCGAGCACTGGCATGAAACCTGTAAGAGCATTTTGGCGGGGCACTGGGTCCCGAGAGCGAAGCACGATGATGGAAGTGTCGACCTTACGATCAAAGCCATTGCCACCAGCAGGAACAGCTTGCGTTGCCGAGGGGGTCTCCGCACGGACGGCGCCCAGCAACTGGCGAAGCTCGTTGATCTCGGACTGCATGGAGGTGATATTGTTGTTCTGCTCGTGGATCTCGTTACGGATCTGCCCGAAGCGCTGCTCCATCTGCTGGTCGATTCTCTCGCAGTGAGACTGGAACGAGTTCCCAACGGCCACCAAGTTCTGTTGAACAGCAGCCAGAGTGCGCATGACGTCGGCGCGAGTGTTGTCCACATGAGCTCGCAGCCCATCCATCTCGGGATTAGCGGCACGGTGTCGCTTGCGTTCATTCTCATCGTCGCCAGGAAGGGGAGGAACAGCAGGGCCGCCACCAGCAGCACGAAGAGGAGTGTGAACCACTCGGGACTCGTCATCGGGGAAGGTCGGGGCGGCGTCCAAAGCTGCCGCCACCTCCGCAAGCTCTTGAGTGCCCATCGCATCATGAAATTCTGCCTCGGCCATCCTTGCGCACTGACGAGAGAAGAAAACTCGACGATGCCCCCAACAGGGAAGGTCCTAAGCAGGTGAAACAAAAAGATGAGGTAGGGTCTCGTGACGCCAGCTGTGGCACCTTGGGCCCTAACCGTGTACTCCCTGACCCCAGGGAGGCTACGGGCAACGGCTTGAGCCAAAATGGCTTGAGCCAAAATGGCTACGGACCTCCTCCTCCTCCTCCTCCTCCTCCTCCTCCTCCTCCCCCTCCCCCTCCCCCGCAGCAGCAGCAGCGAGCATGACAGCTCCGACACATCGAGCGCCGCATGGCATTCACGGCGGGGCTGCACTGCAGAGTGGGACAGAGGAGCGGAGGGCAGCCGTCGAATTGCACAGGTCCACGTGCAGATTTCTAAAGCAAATCTTGGAACGACGGGGCCGGGATGTGGCAAGAAGCCAGACAGCGGATATAGAGTAAGAGAGAGAGAGAGGCAGGACACAGAGGAAGAGCTCATGGGTGCATGCTCCTACCAGGCAATACCAACGGTACTCGCACCGATCCCTTTTACGGGTAGAACCGAAGTGAAAGGAAGGGGGAGTAGAAGATGGAGGTCCTGGCTTCAGGGGCAGACGCGAGCAGGAGCTTGGAGAGAGGCCCCATCTGCTTCTCAGACCCTTCTTGCACAGAAGCAGGGGCTCTTCTGAGACTGTCCCCAGTTGTCCCCTTGCCCCTCGTCCGTCTGAGCGTCTCTGGGCCCCCACGTCTCTGGTCGTCTCTCTCTGCCGCCCGTCGCGCAGGGAAGAGTGCCGGTGGGCTGCCGCCTCCGCGGCTGCCCGCGCTCTCCCCGCCGCTGGGAGATCCCTGCGCGAGGCTGTCCCGGGGACGTCCCCTCCCTGCCGCTGCAACGACTGGCCATCGCTCGGACGTCCATTCCCTGTGTTTCTTTCGGTTTCGCGCGTGGTTTTCCTTGGTCAAACGATCAAGGATGCTCCTCGATGGTCCATCGCCGAAAGAAACAATGCAAGCGTCCGAGCGATGCCCCAAGACGAACAACGCCGGGCGCCGTCCCCTTGCTTACTGTCGCAAGGATGCCCTTGGGCCGGCCTGCTGCCCGGCGCTGCCCGTCCCCAGCCCTGACTCCGGATCCGCCTTACTTTGGGGAAATTCGCAAGCAGGGCTTGGAATTTCCGCCTTGTTTTCCAAGCCCCGCTGACGCCAATTTCCGCCCTGCTTTTCTGTTGCTGTTTCTGTGGATGTCCGCCCTATTTTATGTTGGGTGCAGCAATTGCCGCCCTACTTTTTCGGCCTCTTATAGGTGGATGTCCGACGCAATTTTGAGTTGGAAAAAAAGCCAAAGTAGGGCGGATCTGGAGTCAGGGAGGACTCCCTATGGGACCCCCGCGGGCCAGGACTGCGAGAGCCGGTGCAGTGCAGATCTGCCGGCAGGGGGGGCTGCTGCTCTGCGCTCCCCAGCGGCTGTGCTGGCGCACGGCGGGGCGGGCGGGCGGGCGCGCTGGTGCACGACCCGCGGCGAACGCGGCGGAACAGAATCCCACCAGCCCTTTGGGCGTGAGTGGTTTAGCGAGCTCTCTCTGTCCTCAACCAATCATTGATTTTACTAGGGTTTCGGCCCCATTTTGGGCTTCTGAGGGGGCAGCGCTCATCGTCCTTCGTAGCAAAATCATTGATTTTACGAAGGTTTTGGGCTCATTTTGTCCTCCTCAGGGGGCAGCGCTCATTTGCGCTTCTGAGGAGGTCGCAAGAGGCCCCAAGATGGCCCCAAAAGGCCCCCAGGAGGCTCCCAAGAGGCCTCCAAGAGGCCCCCAAGAGGCCCCCAGGAGGCCCCAAGAGGCCCCCAAGAGGCCCCCCCCCAGAGGCCCCAAGAGGCCCCCAAGAGGCCCCCAAGAGGCCCCCAAGAGGCCCCCAAGAGGCCCCAAGAGGCCCCAAGAGGCTCCAAGAGCCCAAGAGGCCCCACGAGGAGCCCGAACGACTCACACCAGGACGAGGGGCCCGAACGACTCACACCACGAAGAGCCCGAACGACTCACACCACAAGGAGGGGCCCGAACGACTCACACCAGGACGAGGCGCCCGAACGACTCACACCACGAGGAGCCCGAACGACTCACACCACGACGCGGGCCCCGAACGACTCACACCACGAGGAGCCCGAACGAGTCACACCAGGAGGAGGGGCCCGAACGACTCACACCAGGATGAGGGGCCCGAACACTCACACCACGAGAAGCCCGAACGACTCACACCAGGACGAAGAGCCCGAACGACTCACACCACGAAGAGCCCGAACGACTCACACCAGGAAGAAGGGCCCGAACGACTCACACCAGGACGAGAAACCCAAACGACTCAAACACGAGGAGCGCTTTCTCTCCCTCCTCCTCCGCCTCGTCCTTCTCCCGCTCCCCCACAAGGAGGATGTACAAGGAGGCGGGAGGAAGGAGGAACAGGGGAGATATGCGGGGCCAAGCGGACACACGCCTGAAAAACACGACTGTCGGCATGCTTCGCAAGAGTTGCTGCTGTGAGATGGGCTGGTGGGGATACGCGAAGCGTAAAGAATTTAATTTGGGCGCCCGAGTTATCCGGGGTAACTCGGGTCCGGGGTAACTCGGGTTTGGATTCCCGAATTATCCCGGCAAAGCAACCTAACATCGATATGTAGAAGCATAGCTGGAGGCATGCAGCAGCAGTAACAGTCACAGTAGTAGTAGCAATAAGAGCAGGAGAGATGAAACAGTGGTAACAGTGAAGTAGTAGTTGTAGTTGGCTGGAGTGAACGAATGAAACACAAAACTTTGCTATGAATATTGGGAGTCGCGTAAAAAAGGAGACACTGCTATCAACGCTGGGAGTGTGTCCAAACGAGTCACTGCTATGAATGGGGAGAGTCGTGTAAGATGGAGACGCTGCTATCAACGCTGGAAGTGTTTCCGAACGAAACTCTGCCATGAATTTTGGGAGTCCTGTAAAAAAAAGACACTGCTATCAACGCTGAAAGTGTGTCAAAACGAGACACTGCTATCAATAGTGGCAGTCGTGTAAAAAAGAGACACTGCTATCAACGCTCGCAGCGTGTCAAAACGAAACTTTGCTGTGAATTCTGGCAGTCGTGTAAAAAGGAGACACTGCTATCAACGCTGGAAGTGTGTCAAAACGAGACACTGCTATCAATAGTGGGAGTCGTGTAAAAACGAGACACTGCTATCAACGCTGGCAATGAATGATGATGATGAGTGCGATGATGAGTGCGACGATGAGATGATGACTGTCCTTTTTTCAGAGGACCGCGCTGAGGAGCGGCGTGCGAAGCGGAGAAGCTGCAAAGCGCGCAGGCTGAAAAGCATTGCAGACACGCGCAGGCTGAAAAGCATTCCGCGACACGTGCAGGCTCACCGCGCACAGCTGCACACGAGCGCAGGCTGAGAAACACCACGCGCATGCAGGCTGAGAAGCACCACGCGAATGCAGACGGACAGACTGAACAGCACCGCCACAACGCAACCTGCATCTCATGGCTCCTCAAGCTCGCGCAGGCCATCCCAGTTGCTGTCGGGCCTTCGCGCAAGCGATCTTCGTCGCGGCAATCTTGTCCGTGAAGAGCTCGGCGAAGGCCTTGGCGATCTGTTCCGGGGGGCCGGATTCGATGATGCTCCGGTCAGGCAAGCCGTGGCTCAAGAGTTGGTTGAAGCTTCTGGGGCGCGACAGGCTGACGTAGTAGGCAAGCCAAATGGACTCCTTCTTGAGTCCTGGCGGAAACGTCCAGTGCACGATGAAGCCTGGGTCCGTCGTCTTGCCCTGGACGCCATGCAGAGTCCCCTGCTTTTTGGGCAGCACGGTCAACTGCGTCCTGGACACCGCGATGGCCGGGCCACCTGTCTTCGCTTTGAACTTCCAGGGGCGCGCCTGCGGGGTGATCGCGAGCACTCCGCGCAGGTCGGGGCCGGCAGGCTGAGAAGCACTGCCAGCTGTCACCGGCGCGGCCTTCAAGAAAAGTTCATCGCTGTCATCGATCTTGACATAGACGGCCTTTGGCATGTAGTAGAGTACGACCACACCGTCCGAGACAATGGACGGGCGGCCCTCCACCGGAGGCTCCAGAGCGTGCAGCTCTATGCCTACCACTTTGCCTGGCGCGCCACGGACATACTTCGGCGGCAAGACGGATTCTGTCAGGATGACCTCCATGCCAACGAAGAGCGGCAGCAGCCCCGGCATTTTTGCGGTAGCGCCGATGTTGGGCTCCGCGCGCATCTCGTCGTAATCAGGCTTCGCGAGGCGCGCAGCTGGTCTGTCGATTGCTGGGACGTAAAAGAGCAGCTGGCCAGCATCGTGCGCATCAAGCTTGGCCTGTGCATGCATGGCGTAAGAGACGATGCGCCACTCATAGGCCGACTCGTACCAGCCTCGTGCTGCACGCAACCGAGGGCCCCATTGAGGTGGCTGAGCGGCTTCGCTGCTGCTGGCAGCAGGCTGACCAGCACCGCTAGGGCTAACGACCTCTGTTTTGACGATCGCCTGCCAGCTCTCGTCAGAAATCTTTTTTCCGCCTGGAGTTCTCATGGCGTGGAGAACCTCGAGTTGCAACGGGTCTGTAAAGCGCTGCATCTGCGCGAAATCGATGACGTAGTCGAAGTCGGCGAGCAACTTCCTACCCTGTTGGTGTTCGTAGGACTGGCCCGTGTGAGGCGCCAGCAGGGAGGCGCTGGCGGGGACCGGCGGCAACTGGTAGAAGTCCCCGCACAAGATCTTCACGGCCATGCGCCCCCACGTCTCCTGCGGGCGCATGTACTTCGCGGGGTCG